TAGAAAAACAGGTTTGTGATAGAAGCACAAGCTCAGCCAGCAGAGAGCCTGGCAGCTGCTCTGTTTATATCCGCTGTATTGCTGGAGACAGATGTCCTGTCAAACCTGAGGGTTCTGACGAGGCTTCCACTCTTCCAAGGAACCCATGCATTCACTAATCAAAGAGACGCTTGCCCCTCGTCTACATGAGTGCTCTGTAGTGTAAAACTGTTTCTAGTTCTGGGTTCAGAACTGACTATGAGTAAAGGCATAAATCATCATCCACAGTGTCCACCGCAAGGGGAAGATGCTGGGCTTCCCGCAAAAGACGTGGCATTGGTGTGTTCAGTGGAGTGAAAAAAACAGAAACAGTGGCTTTGGAAGTAAGCACACTGAAATTCCAGCTCTGTTACCTGCTCGCTGGGTGACTGCAGGAGCTCATCTTACCCTCCCTGGACTTAGGTAGTCGATAATATCAATTCCACAGGTAGCTGTGATGACTGACAAGGTGTCATTAGTAAGAGACACTGGTTTGGTGCTCGGCATGCAGTAGCCACCAAGTAAGTGATTATGCTGCTGAGGTTGTTGCTATAGACACAAATAAAGGGAGAAGTCCGTCCTGGCACAGAAGATATATGTGACTCCCTGGCCATCCTGATGGTGGCTTCCTACAGATAAGAACAGGGACTTTCCAGCACAAAGCCCTTGTCTGCTTGGCTGCACAAAGAATGCCACACGTTCTGAGGAGGAAATGAATGTTCTGGAGTGTTCCAATGCACTTCCCTGTGTATTATGAGCCCATTCTTTCCTAACCCACCCACTTGATGAACGCCTTTTAATCCTGATCCTAGAAGCCAACTTGTGACTCAGCACAGGAAAAGGGCTGGCTATAGGAATGCACCCCACAATGGAGAAATCCTCAGCTATGGCCAGAAAGGTCCCCATGAAACAACCAACAATTCCTAAGTACCATGCAGAGAGATCCATGCCAAATGTGGAGCTTGTCCCAGGGCACACAAAACAAGGGAGGGAACAACCCGGAAGAGATCAAGACAGAGCTATGAAAGCAAGTTAGAGATCCCTCACACAACATGGGCCCAAGGCCCTGGGTGCAGTGGGAATGGAGGAATGAACTGCCACGATCCAGATGAAATGGAGCTCATGAGTAGTCCTAGTCTACTGTCTATTGATGTGATAAACACCACAGCCAAAAGCATCTCGGGGAGGAAAGGGTTTATTTCATCTTACAGTCAGTCAGGAAGGGGAGTCAGAGCAAGAACTCAAGGCAGGAACCTAGAGGGAGAAACTGAAAAGACCATGTAGGAATGCTGCTTACTAGTTTGCTCTCCGTGGCTTGTTCAGACTGCTTTCTTACAGAACCCAGGACCACCTGCCCAAGGATAGTATCACCCACAATGGGCTGGGCCCAGCCACATTAATTATTAATCAAGAACGTGTGCCACAGATTTGCCTACCGGCCCATCTCATGGAGGCATTTTCTCAGTTAAGGATCCTTCTTCCCAAATGACTCTGGCTTGTGTCAAGTTGGGGAAAAAAAAAAAAAAAAAGAAGCACAATTGATCTCTTGTCAATCTGAAACACAAACACATCACTATTAAACCAATAACCTTTTCTTTGATTTATCCTAAGATCTCCTGCTAATATCATAATGTAAAACTCAGTATAATCATTTTTTTTACTTTTCAATATTTTAAAAGTCGAAGTTATCTTTTGAAGTCCACAGCCTCTCAAGTCTGGATTCCTATAAAATAAACAAACAAACAAACAAACAGCTTTAAATACTTTTTAACTCCAAGAACGAAGACCAGAGCACAGTAACAATTAAGCAAAGTCAAACTCCAACACTGTAAATAACACAGTGTCCAACATCTTAAACTCACAAACCTTCTGGGCTCCAAACGACTTGGGTAGACCCCACCTCTCCAGCTCTACCACCCACAGCAAACGTAGCTTTTCTCCTAGGCTTTAAGCCAGTCTACTCCACATGTGCCACTGTCCTTGGTGGTTGACCCGTGGTTCTGGCATCTCGCATATCCTGTATGGGTCTCCACTGTAAGTGAGGCTGCACATTGACCAATAACCTCTCCTGAACTCTCTAGGGTCTCTGACCCTGCCACATGTGACAAGCCACAGACTTTCCTACTGGCCGCATAGGTGGAAGTATTTTCTCTCTCCAGGTTCCTTCTTACCAAATGTCTAGCTTGTGTCAAGTCAACAGCAAAAAAAAAGAACTAAACCGGCACAAGGGCAGACCTTTGTACAAACAGTGAGCGTCACAGCAAATAGCTCATAGCTAGACTTAATTCCACAAAAGAAAATGTGCTCTCTCAAGATCTGATTGGCATTTGGGCTCAGATGAAAAGAGGGAAGGGTGAGGGGAGTGGGGGACACACCCTCTGTGATTCTAATCCGTACAGCTCACATACCCCCCCCCCCACACACACACACACTTTGACCCCCTTGTGAGCAGTTATCCAGCTTCAAATCTGGAGATTTTGCATCACTCCAGACCCCCCACCCTCGGCATCGCTCAGGTCTGCCTCTCTTCTATGATATTGCTGAGCATTATAATAATGCTCATGATGATGCTCGGCAAGGCGACTGGGAGAATTCTTCTAGTCTCACCGAAAGAGAGCCCAGGAAGGATTCCTGGAGTGGACTGTTTCTTCATTCACTTGAGGATCGTTCAAAACGATCCGTCAGAAACTACACAGGTCCAAAAAATGCCAGATTTTAACCTATTCCAGACCCTACAAACCTTGGCCACATTCAGTAACGCCCACAGCTGCTCTACAGGAAAGTGCTCAGAACGCAGCCGGTGGAGTCCTGTATGGCTCACGATTGGTGTGCAGGCACAGATCATCTCCGAGGCTGGCTTTCCCACAGAACTGGCATATGCGTGGCTTCGTCCTCCTTTGCTCTGCATTGAGTTGCCTGGGATATTGCCTGTGCATCTGCTTTAAATCCCAAGTGACCCAGACTCTCTTCCCTACCTATCTACACTCTTCCAGCCCCTCATTCACCATTGCACCAACTTAGTACTCAAACCAGACCGATCATTCACGTCCAGGTGTAGTTTGAGGACCTCCAACACCCGTTTCCCCCCTCAGCTCCCACCCTATCTCCCTTTGAAGATCCTCTGTCACTGCCTTACTGTCACACTAGCTGTCCTGGATGTCCTGTCACGGGGGTAGACGGCTCTGGGATGCAGTCATTCTGCGCGCCCCCCATACACACACCCCCCCCCAGCCTTTCAAACCTTTATACACCAAAACTTCCTCTGATGTTTATTCCAGAAAATACAGTTACTCTAACACCAATGGGCCACCTCCCTGGGGTCCTCCTCCTTCTTCTTCACTGACAGTTCTCCTGCTACCCTCAGTAGATGATTATTATTTATTATTTATCAGCCATGACACTCTGCTGTGCTTCCTACAAGATATTAAAGAACACACAACCCCTGTACTGAGTTTACAGCCGAGACAGCAGAGCTGTGGATCTGACATCATAGGAGGCCGTCGAGAGGAAGGACCACAGGCAAGCAAGCCCTCGGTCTTCCCCGGTAGACGGGAGTGGACCCTGGCAAAACCTCCACAGGCCTAAGAACCAGCAATGCCCCTCCCCTGTTACAGACACCCACCCCCAATTTCTAACCAGACCTTAGGCCTCAGAGCATTTTCCCGGAAGCGGGGGGGGGGGGGGGGGGGAGAGGGGTGTTATGGATGGAGAGAAATGAAGAGGGGAACATGAACCACTGACCATAACCTTCAGACCGGCCTGGAGGGTGGAGGGGAGTCACAGGCTTTTCCTCTGAATCTCAAAACAGGTGAGGGGGGCCAGGGGTGGCTGGGAATAAGAAACAGACCTGCAGAGTTAGCAAGCCAAGGAAGACAGGCTCAGAAAAGAAGAAGTGTTCTGGCGAGATGAAAAAGCCCACACCGGGTAGCCACAGGTCTCCAGCCAAAGTTTCCTCTTAGTGTTGCAGTTAGGGTCTGCGTACACAGCCTGCAGAGGGAGAGGGGAAGGCTCAGTCAGTGTGGACCTTGGGAGGGCTGGCTGGCTGGGTGCTGCTGCATCTGGAGTGTCAAGAGTAGTCAGACAGGCCTGTGTGGTCTGAACAACCCAGGGAGGTCTGTGAAAACAGCAAAGTTCTCATAGGTTCAGGAGCCAGGGCAGATGCAAGGAGACAGGATTGGCGTGGCTCGCGGTGGTCCTTCGGAGATGTGGACATTTCCTGCTCCTTCCCGTGGCCGGAGTGTCACAGGGAGGGCGGAAGCGGAAAGACGATTGGACTTCTCTTTCTCAAACTTTCCACCAGTTTCCTCAGGTGTTGAGAGCAGGAGGGAAGCTGCCTTCAGTCCGGATCCTTCAACCCTGGGCTCTCGGAACCCGGAGGCCATGGCCCAGCAGCCCGGCCACGCGCCGTGAGTCTGCCGGGCGCGGCCACGGAGCCGGGCGAGCCGGGAGTCATCGCAGGGGGCGGGGGCGGCGGACGGACGATGGACACACCCGCTGGCACTGAGCCCGGGGCCCGGCGCGTTGCTGCCGGGGATCCCTGGGGCCCCGGGAGCCGAGCGCTGAGCCGGGCCGGGGGCGCCCCGCCTCCCCCACCCTCCGCCCCCGCCTACTCGGGCGCCGGTGATTGGCTCCGCCCGCCCCTGGCTGCGCGCCGAAGCCCGCCTCCCTCGCAGCTAAAGCAGACGGTACCCGGAGAGGAGCGAGCCAGAAGGGAGCATGGTCCCCGCGCCGCGGCCGCGCCAACCCCCGCGCCGCCGCCGCCGTCGCCGCTGTCCCTGCCACCGCCGATCTAGCCGCAGCTCCAGCCCCGGCCTCGGCTCCGCAGCGCACGTCCGCAGCCCCGGCCATCGCCGAGCCTGAGCTCAGCCCCCGCCCGGAGCCCGAGCCCCGAGCCCGGAGCCAGCCCCAGCCCCGCGGCCGCCGCGGCTGCGGGGAGAGGGCGGGGGCGATGCTGCCGGAGCCGCCGCCGCCGCCGCCGCCTCGATGAGAGCCGCGCCGCACCGCGCATAGCCGCGCAGGCTGACAGGCAGAAGGACTGACTTCCCTCTCCCGGGCATCCTCCCTGGGCTGCCGGGAGGCGGCGGCGGCGGGGGAGGAGGAGGGAAAGGGGGAGAAGGCGGAGAGCAGGAACGCGAGGAGGTGGACCTGGATCCGTTTCTCCCGGCCAGGACGCGAGCGGCCCCAGCTACCGCTACCCGCCGGCGCCGTCCCCTATCCATCAGCCCTCCTGCACCCATCCGCGACCCTGGGCTCTCTGCGCGTCGGGCCGGGGCCGGAGCGGCGCGGCCGCAGGTAAGAGCCGGGTCAGGTTGGGGCTCTTAGGATGCGGAGCGGGGGTTGGGGGGATCCCAGGGTCCTGGTAGCTACTGGGCCAGGCAGGACTTGGGAGCGGGGCCCGGAGCCCGGAACGCTGGGCTCGGCTCTGGCAGTGGTGGCGGCTGGAGCTGAAGCCTCCCGCGTCTGGACTCGCAAGCCTGCAGAAGCCCTTGCGCCTGCGCTGCTCTGGGGATGGAAAAAAAAAGGGGGAAAAAACTTCCTGCCCCCGGGTGTGTTATGCAGGGAATGCCTGGGGGGGACTGTCGCGGTGGTCGGAGGTGCTGGAAGCGAATATGACACTGGAGCTGGGTAGCGCTGGGCCGGGCCCGGCCGTGTGCGTCCCTCTCCTGGCCACCTCCCCCTGTGCGGCCCAGGGCCCCAGCAGTGCCGGGGGGGGGGGGGCGGCTAGGAAGCACTGGAGAGCTGGTCCCCAGGGCGGCCGCGTGCCCTGCGTGTTGGGGAGGTGAGCGCCCGTGTGCCAAGGGAAGCTAGGTGATGGGTTCTGCCCCTGGCGTTCTCAGATCCAGCATTTGGGGACCGGGTTTCTACACTGGATCCCAAGTAACTTTCGAGGTAGAAGAGCTTGAAAATCATCTGGATGGAACCCACCACAGACCGTGTGGTGACCTCCCGTTCATTCCCTTGACACCTTGTGGTTTCCAGCGGGGGGTTGGAGGTGGGAGGACAGCTTCGCGGATGCGAAGGGCGGGGAGGTGGTGGCGAGTGGGGAGGGGTTGTTTATGTGTGGGATAGTGGACCCGGAGACACGTAGGTGGGAGTGTGGCCGCGCGCCCGGACTGCCACGGGCGGTGCGGGCTGGCCGCGGGCTCACGTCCGGGTCTCAGTGGCCTGGAGCTGGCCGAAAGCTTGTAGGGTTATCTGCGGTCGTGCGCGGGTGCCCGCGCTGGGCAGTGTCAGCCCCAGGCCCCAGGGGAGAGAGGCGTGCTCACTCCAACCCAGATCGCGGAGCCCAGAGCCCAGTTTCGGTCCGAGGCTGTTCCCCGGGCCGGTTCGATGTGCCTTGCCTGGGGAAGGCGGAGACGCACTGCCTGCCTGCGGCTGTTCTCAGAGGAGCGGGCGACTGCAAAGCGTGAGTCTTGGATGCCTGGGTCCGCCTGCTGAGAAGCACGTTCTCTCTCATCGCTGGCCTCTGGAACCGAAAGGCGGCGGCGGTCAGTTGACAGATCTCCGGTGGGTCCCCAGGGATGATGATGGGTGAGGAGCAGCCCCTGCTGCCACACGCGCGGCTCTGCGAAGCGTATCCTCTCTCCCCATGGTGTTTGCGACGCGGCGCGCCCGGGGCGAATCGTGAACGCAGATATTTATGTAGCATTAGGCGAGACCTCTTCGCCGGAGGGACTAGACGTGGAGGACGCCGGGGCTGCGGCTGCCGAGAAACTTCCACTCCTCAGCTCTGGGACAATCAGGCTCCTCCGCCGCGGCAGGCTCCAGCCCCTCCTCAGCTGAGCAGCGCTAGGATTCGGACTCCAGTTGCAGTGACAGATCTGTCCTGGTTACAGCTGTATTTATCCTCATTTCATTCTCTTTAAAGCCATTTGTCTAGTCACTACAGAGTTTCTCCCCTGCGGTGTGGGTCTTACTGCTAACTCAGCCTGGGGAGGGCAGATTTGAGAAATTCTTTCCGTTCGGGCTGAATGACAGCACGTTTAATTAGCCCACCTCATTCCTGACTTTTTAAATTTAAATTAAGGGGGGAGATGGAGAGCTAACTTTTTAATTATTTTTCACTGGCGGGGGGCGCGCATTGAACAACTGTACAGATTGTTCATCCTGACACTTGGAGAAGACGTATCTGGTAAACATAATAATTTAAGGGTTGGTTCTCAGGCATGCATACTCACTCTGCAGGTTCCTACATGCATGGAGCAGTGGCTCGCAGTGTCTATGGTACCATATATTGTTCTGGAGTGCATTAGATTTATCACCTTGCTACAAATCAGGGAACCAGTAGCATGTGTGCCCTTAAACCCTATAGGAATTTAATAATGTTTAACTTGGCTTATGGGCTGATGCATTTAGCCAATTGTAATAACTTTTCTGCACAAGGATCTTATTAGTACATGATTAAGAAAAACATTGTCTTTGGTCCAGTCTTCCCATTTCTGCTATAGTTGTGAAAATGAATAGGTCTCCAACTTTCATTTGCAAGCAACAATCCAAACGAAATACCTAAGAGTTTTACTGAAATAAAACATCCTATGGTAGCCATGGAAACAAATAGATTAAGGGTTATTGGTTTTTTCTGTATGTGGTGGGGGTGGGGACCTAATGTTGGGTCTCTTAAGTTATGTTTCTAATGAATGGTGGTCACACTCCACATACTCAGTGTGGGAGGCAAGCCACACCAGAATTCAGTTTTGTAAGGGGTTTATTAGAACAAAGACTACCGAGAGGCCCGAGAGAATGACTTCTGCTTACTGGGGCTCCTCACATCCAGAACGCAAATGCATAAAGCCATATTTTGGTTTTTTTCTTTTTTCTTTTTTTTTTTTTTAAGTAGATGAGAATGGAGTCCGTATTCTTTTGAGATTGGAAGACGTATTTTGCTTGTAAGCTGTTACTAAAGGAATCATTAAATCCAGCCCCTGTTTCCTAGGAATAAACATGTTAGAAGTGTAGATGTTGGTGTAGATGGACTGTCACACTTGTTACCAACACTGTCAGTCTAAGTGAGGCATATCATTAGTCTATTCAAATCTTGCCTGTTTCAATATTCATGCATTTCCATGGTGATCCACTCTGGTTTTGTTTACTTAATCAACCTTATAAATCTTTGGCATCAATTTCAGCAGTACCATCTTTCCCCTCTCCCATTTATCATTTGATTTGGCTGCAGCTCATTCCTAATCGAAAGCATGTCCCCGTCTCTCCCTTACATAGTTTCCAAAAGTTTACGTGATTCCCAGTAACACCGAGAGATAAAGAAGTTAATTCAGATAACACCATCAGTGCTGATGTAGCTTTTTAGTGTCTCATTTGTTACGTGTGTGTGTGTGTGTGTGTGTGTGTGTGTGTGTGTGTGTGTGTGCGCGCGCGTGAGAGAGAGAGAGAGAGAGAGAGAGAGAGAGAGAGAGAGAGAGATTGTTATTCTTTTTCCTCACAGGCTTACTATAAAGCTTTCTAACCTTATGACTAGATGTCAGTTTTTCCTTCATACCCTTCTTTCCCTTTACTTCTCTCTCTTACCCTCTTTTCCCATTCCCCCTCCTCCTTTTGTGGTATGAGGATTCTTTTGTGTCTTTAGCTCTATCGGACTTGAAGAGCCATCAAAGCTGTGTATTAGAGTGGGCTTGTCCTTCTGTAAGATCTTTTCTCTTCCAGTAATGGATAAAGCCAGAAGGTTCCAGAACATCAGAGGATCCCCCCCCCCCACCAAATATAATATATATTTAGTTATAGCGCCAAGTGTCTCTAGGATCACAGTAACATTGTAAGTCCTCGGAACAGGCAGTTTTACTTCCCTGCAAGCGATGATTTTGCTCATCCGCTTTCAACTTTGCTTTCTAATGATGCAATCCCATGCTAATCACAGCCCTGTATATTTCAGAAATATCAAGGCAAGCATTTGCACGCTACTGACTTATTAGGATCGGGCAAAGTAATTGGAACACTTAAGTTCAAAGTCAGAAGGAGAAATGGAATTATAGCCAACCTTATGATTCTATAATCAGTCAACTAAGCGCCTACTTGGGGGTAGGAGGAGTAAGAAACACCAGGAATAAGAAATCCAGCCTTTGCCGGCTGTGAATGAAGCCAAACTGGTGTAGTTACAGTGAAAGAATGCTGGAGAATGAGACAGATATGCGCTCCTCTTCCCCCTGACCTTTCTTAATGCTAAGGCACATCTCAACACAAATGTTCAGAAACTGGGAAAATATTTCTACTTGATGCAGAAGAGGAATCTTTTTTTATTGCTCAAAAAAAAAAATCTAAGGTCCTCTCCTAGTATGCTTAAACAATTAGGTAGTGTGATCCCTGCAAGATATTTCACATGCAATGGCTTTTTTTTTTAACCATAGAAAATGGTTATATTAATTTTGGTTAATAAGTAGAGGTATATATCAAAATTCCACAGTAGAATCTAGGAGCAAAAAAAAAAAAATGCTGGGATCACAGCCATCCTGAAATCAAACTCCAAAGCTCTTCCTTCAACAGCTACACCCTTGCTCTCCTCAAACCTGGGGTCAGACAGGCAGACTCTACCGTCTTCAAGGAAACCATTTGAAACCAGGAAAACTGAAGCTTCAATTTAGAAAGAGGCTGGTGGATCACCGGAAGTCGCAACAGAGTTGCTGCTGAGAGTGATCGTCATCGTTCTGGGGGCATTTCCGCCTTTAGGGTGGGAAAGGAGAGTACACACACACACACACACACCCATGAGGCAGAATAACTTCGTGAAATACACATGGTTCCGGGACTCCATGCTGTAGCTGCGTAGATGGTTCAGACACCCGAACAAGAACCCTGGAGCCTGGGCCTGACAGGGATCTGGATTAGGTGAAAAGGACACCTCCCCACCCGTTAAACGCTACTGCCGGCACCCCAGGTGCCTCTCTTTAGCATCCGTGTTAGGACGTTTTGAAACCTTTAAATCATTGAGCAATCTGAGATACATATATGCAAATACATACAGGCATATATTTGCCTTTGTGCACTCAAACGCATACTTGGCCACTTAGTAAAATTATGGCTTAAAACAATAACAGAATTTACCATCTTCACCATATTTATGGGAATAGGACAGTGGTATTCCTACTCACGTTACCGAGCAATGGGTTGTGGAAACTTATTCATCTTGTGGTATGGAAATCCTATGCCCCTTAGATGCCAATGTTTATTCTCTTCTCCCTCTGCTGGGCAGCCACTGTTCTGTTTTGTGTCTCTATAAACTTGACCATCCAGAATGCTGCACGCAAGTGAAATAAAACGTTTACCATTTACTAATTAGCTTATTGCACTTAGCATCATAGATCAAGTTTTTCATCCATGCAGTCTCATATGTCGGAATTTTCTTCCTTTTGAAGACCGATTAGTATTCCATCAAGCATATGTACGTTTTGTTTGTCTGTTGGTGAGCGTGCGGGTCGTTTCCACCTCTTGGCTACTGTGAGTAATGCTGCCGTGAATTTGATCGTGTAGATACCTTCGGAAACGAGGCTTTTCATTCTCTGACGGCATACACCCCGAGATAAGACCACTGACTGCATTCTGCCACTTTAGCACTCACAAATGTAGGTCTTGGGTTTTAAGAACTTGGTAGGAATGCAGTCAGTCGAAACAATGTCAAATATCAAACGCAGCAGGCATTACTGACATTTGTTTTTCCTATCTGGTGTGTATGTTCCCTCAGAAGTCTCTCCAGTCCCTGGTGCTTTGCCCAGGGGGCAGGCGGCAAGGGGGGGGCGGTTGGCTGAATTCTGGTGACAATACAGAGTGGGTGGCGGTTGGGGCTTCACGTGGGAATTGAAGTCCAGTCTCTGGGCAACCTTGGGAAGACCTGTCGTCTCACAAGACCTCTGTTCCTGAAAATGTGAAGGAAGCACAGTAGCAGTCTAGGGCTAGAAGAGGGGACCCCCTTGCACCAGGGAGATGGCTTACTGGGTAAGGGCACTTGCTGCAAAGCCCACGTAGTGGAAGGAGAATACTGACTTCTGGTGCCAGTCAATCACCCCTCCCAGAAGCACGCCATGGCACATGCATACACGCAAAATTAGATTTTTTTTTTTTTAAAGATTCACACACAGCCGGGCGGTGGTGGTGCACGCCTTTAATCCCAGCACTCGGGAGGCAGAGCCAGGCAGATCTCTGTGAGTTCGAGGCCAGCCTGATCTACAGAGTGAGATCCAGGAAAGGTGTAATGCTTTAAAGTGAGAAACCTTGTCTCAAGAAACCAAAAAAAAAAAAAAAAAAAAAAAAAAAAAAAAAAAGATTCACACGCGCAAAAATTAACTGACTTAAAAAAATTCTCTTTTTCAAAATGAAGAGGGAACCCTGTTAAAACCTGTTCCACAGAGAGACTCTCCATGTAGCAGAGCTCTGGAGCATTCAGAGAGGTGACTGCAAGTCATGGAGCCGATTGAAGTGGGATGTATACTGAGCCCTCCAGGCATGAATCCTAAATATTTTAATGATACATCAGGGCGTGTGTGTGCTGCAGTCTGTGAACCTCATATGATAATATGAGTTCTGAACAGCGTAAGATTATTTGCATCACAATTCCAAGAGTTCAAAATACCCTGAGTGGATTTGATATATGAACTTTTAATTCCATTTTTAGTATCATAATTTTAGCATTGCCATGGATTTCAGAGGTCAGCTAATCTACCTATTATTCAATCAGCAAACCTTTCTCAAGCCCCAATAATCAAATAATAATAGCTTCTGGTTAGGGCTGCCCACCATATTTTAGTACTTTACATATATTATCTCTAATCCTCACATCAAACCCATGAAGTAGGGATTATCCACACTCTACAAATGACGGGGAAGCTCAGAGGTAAGCAAGTGGCCTATACCCAAGGCCCAGCCACGTCATACTGCTGAGTTCGAACACAGAACCTTCAGCTACTAATTCTCTTGCAAGTGTGTGTGTGTGTGTGTGTGTGTGTGTGTGTGTGTGTGTGTAATGCTGAGGATGGAACCCAGGGCTTCATGCAAACTAGGTAAGCCCTCCACCAACTAAACCACATCCCCAGCCCCTTGTGCATTTCTGATAGTACACGCAGAGTTTTAATGTATTTGTTCCAGTTCGTGCTGCCTTTCGTGTGTGAGGAGGGTCTTCATTTTCCATGGTAATTAACGTTTTCTTTTGACACCTGGTCTCCCTGTGTAGCCTTGGCTAGCGTAGCACTGGCTGGCTTTGAACTCACAGAGATTCTCCTGCCTCTGTTTCATGATTCCTGGGATTAAAGTGGGGCCACCATGCCCCACTCTTGCTAATTAATATTTTATGTAAGTAATAACATTAGAATGAACGTGAGTTTAAGATTATTAACCCAATCTGGCCAACATTCACTCTCGGGCTTTTTTTTTTTTTTTTTAAAACCGGTCTACCTGCTTCCATTTACTCCTAGAAGACAAATGAGACCAACGTTCATAGGCTTGGATGGGACCCATTTCTATAGTGAGTCTGCGTAAAATGAAATAGCAACAAAGAAGAAAAAAGAGATGTAGGAAGAATCAAATATATACTTAGACCTACTTGGACCTACTAAAGGCTAACTTACCCCAGTTTTAATATCAGGGTTAGTGCAGTATCTGGCATTAAATTCCTCCATGAAAATGTTTTGCCTGTGCACATTTTGACCCAGAGAAGGTATCGGGTGATAAATATCAAAGCATACATTTCGGATTGTCTTTTCACGCGTGGACTGTCTAGTTACGAATTCAGCGTTTGTCATTGTGTGGAATTTTAGATGCTATATTTGGGCCTAAATCTATTAAATATGCTTGTTGATGAATTCTAAGTAATCTAAATGGAATCTTGGAGGATTTATGACTTGAGACTTTGAAGACTAATTTTCTCCTGGAACTGCATCATCCCAGTGATAACTGGATCTATCCGGGACTTCGGAGAGCCGACACAGAGTCGTCTTTCATAACGGGCTCACTTGCCGAGTGTCTTCCCTGTGCAGATTTTAAAATCTGTGGTGTTTCATACACAGCATTGTTTTTAAAGAAAAATAAAAACACTCCCAATCCCAGAGACAGAGGCCATGGGAGAAGGATAGCATTGTGTTTGCATCCGCGTCTCTCCTGGCCCGACACTTTGTAATAATCCTCTGTGAGTTGGGAAAGGGTGTGAACAGAGCCTCCAGCACACACACGCCACAGAACCGTCTCTGTTCCGTCTTTTAAGGATTCCCACCCAGGTGCATCCAGGCTCACTGGAAGAGGGGCATTCATTCCAGACATGAGGTCAAGCCTTCGAGGAAGCCATAACATAGGCAATGTTCCGGGGGAGGGCGAGGTTGGCCACTGCAGGAGCTGGCCATCTCTGGGCTGACAGGCCTTTCTCTTATTGCTATCCAGTCAGCACACCGCCTCTGCCTTCCTCCCTTCTCTGTGTATAAAAGGTAGATCAAGGGTCCTTTTTGAGAAGTTTGAGAAGAAGGGTGAAGGGACAATGCTCCACACACAAAGATGCTCCACACATGAAGTTGCTCCACACACGAAGATGCTCCACACACGAAGATGCTCCACACACGAAGATGCTCCACACACGAAGATGCTCCACACATGAAGATGCTCCACACATGAAGATACTCCACACATGAAGATGCTCCACACACAAAAATACTCCACACATGAAGATGCTGCAGCTGTTTTCTGAAAAACCAAATACTAGTCACAGACTTCATCTGCATTAGAGACTTAGCTTTATTTTGGTCGTTTAGTAACATGAGCAATTGTCCAGGAAGAGTGAAGCTTGGGTTTGAGAAAAATGAAACAATTTCACCGTTCTCTTTCACTTTCTCTGTTCAACTAACCCTTCCAGCTAGAGACCCTGGCTTCTGGATCACAATCAACATTTAACCTAGCCACCGAGGGAACCTTGCTGGTATGTTTGGTGCTATTTTATGGATGAGAGAGAGGCAGATGTTTGCCCAAGATCAGCTCAAGTATGAGAGATGGATATGAGATACCAAGCCTGTCATCTGCACACAACTGCCTGCCTATAGGGTAAGGAGAATTCCGGCCAATATGCCTTCTATAAGGACTATAAATGGCCTATTGTATAATAAAAATCCTCCCATGTTTGATCATATTGCTCACTAATTACCACAGTTGACGCTGTAAGAAGTTGAGGTCCAGTTAATTTTCTCTGTTCAAGGGTGAAATAAACTCAAAGAAACAGAGACCTACTGTTGTAAATTTCAAGTACCTTCACACATAAACTTATTACCATTATCTTCTGAGTTGAGCAAAAGTTTGCATGTGAGGCTACATCAGAGGCTTAGGTCTACCTTTTCCTTGAGGTCAGAGGCCCCTGGGGTGCTCACTTGAATATCTGAGGACTGAATATTTTAGGATTAATGAATTCTTTTTTGCAAAGCACTTATAACAGCTCCAGCATATACCAAATATTGGAAACAAGCAGTTATTTCTGTGTACATAGAGTTTGTGGTCCTAAAGGGACAAAGGAGTGTCTTTGTCATTAGATTCCGGCCTGGCCTGGCACATCTTGATGTTTACTGGTCAGCTACACTGTAGAATTCCTGGTCTGCTTAGAAATTGAGAGATGTTCCAGGGAGGAGACTTGGCTCATGAATGCAGTATTGCCCCGACCCCTGGGGTCTGTTCAGCTGCTGTCATGGCTCAGTCTCTCTAAGCCAGTGGAAAGGTGTCCGCAACAGTGTCTCTCCAGACAGTTGGTGCCAAGGTAAATTGAGAGTGAGCTATTAGAAACTAGGATTGCATTTAACATTGCTTTGGTGGCCAAGAACACAGTCAATGGCTCCTCTCAGTGAACCAGGCAGAGGGCAATGGGAGCAAAGTGAAACTCACATCAACAGAGTTGTGGACAGTGTTCTGGCTGGGCCTAGTAGGACCACATTCAAGTCTGTTTGGTTTTTTCCAATATCAGGGGATCAAACCTAGAGCCTTTGTACACAGGAGGTAAAATGTGATCTAGACCACTGAGCCACACATCCCTAACTCTGCGTATCAGTTCTTAACAGATGGGAAATAAAAACAAAAATCAAAATCCGGGGGAGATGGCTCAGTGGGTAAGAATGCTTGCCGCACAAGAACGAGGACCAGAGTTCGGATCCTCAGTATTCTTGTCAAAAGCTGCATGTTACCATATGTGCCCCGATGCTGGAGAAGGGGTGGGAAGGGGGCAGCTGCTAATCTAGCTGGAGAGGGCAATCCCTGGATCAGTGAGAGACTCTTTCTCCAGAGATAAGCAGAGATCAGGTAGAGGAGGACACAGACACCCCCCCACACACACACAGTGAACACACTGCAGTGAACACATTGAACACAATGCATGCAAACACACAGTGCGCGCGTACACACACACACACACACACACACACACACACACACAATTAAAAAAAATTAAAGAGAAACTGGGCAGTGGTGGCACGTGCTTTTAATCCCAACACTCAGGAAGCAGAGGCAGGAGGATCTCTGAGTTTGAGGCCAGCCCTGATCTACCGAGTGAGTTCCAGGACAGCCAGGGCTGTTACACAGAGAAACCCCCTGCTTCAAAAAAACAAACAAACAAAAACTCAAAGAGGCTAGAAAGATGGCTCACTGATGAAGAGAACTAGCTGTTCTTCCAGAAAACAGAGGCTCAATTCTCAGCATCCACATAGTGACTCACAACTGTCTTTAACTCTAGTCCCAGGGCACGCAACTCTTCTTCTGGCCTCTGAGGACACCAGACATGTATGAGGTGCCCAGGTATGCATGCAGACAAAATGCCCATCCACATAAAATGAAAACATTTTATAAATAAATTTAAAAATTAAAAAAATCCTCCAGACACCTGATCATCACAGATAGAGGTAGAGAACAGTGTGGAAACCTAGACGTAGTTTGCTTTGTCAAAGCGTGGGCAGGGTTTTCGAACACTTGGGGCTTGGAATCCCTTATTATCAAAGCTTAGTTTTCCATCTCTGGCATGACAGGTGGGCTGACTTCTGCCTAGTCCACTAGTGCTCAATTTAGCAGGGGCAGCTGCCTACTGTCTCCTACCCAGCACATGATTAGCATTTCTGGTAACTGCAAGGAGGTTGCATGCTCTGCCTTCATATGCATGCTCAGTGGCTTCTCTAATGTGACCCCGAGGATCCTAGCCCGGGTGCCTTGTAATGTACCCACCCACTTCCATGTTGAAGCCAGTTTGTTAAAATGCCTTGCCTTGAACTCTTGGGATAAAGATGGATTATTTTGTCCAAATTGAATTCGCTTATTGGAGTGATAGAAAGAAATGGATGATGACCTTACTCGGAGAGTCCGAATCAGGTTTGCTGAGCGAAATTCAAGGGCCGTGGAGTTTGGGGAGTGCAAGGGCCACGCTTAGAAGCTGGGTTCATTAGACCAGGAGGCCGTGTGCAGCGTCATAGCCAGCCTGTCCTTCAAGTGAAGAGCCTTCTGTGAGTGGAATGCTATAATCTATTTGGTTCATGCTGTTCCAACCAGCTTTAATCATCAAAACTGGAAAAATATTCCAACTGTGAAAGGAGCATAGCTCTTGCTGAAGCCTCGATGTGCCACAGGGACACGCCAGAGTCTCTCAATCCACCAGTCCACGCAGCATGCTGTCGAAAAGGAGTGTGTGGATCTCTTCATGCGGTGTGAGGCAGCTGGCTTTTTCCACAGTGAAATGGCACAAAGACTTAACAGTTCCTTTTCCCCCAGAGGAGAAAAATGATTTTCCTGGAAACCGTGTTTGAAGAAGTCACATTTTGGGGTTTTGTTTGTTTGTTTGTTTTTTCTTTTTTCTTTTTTTTTTTTGCTCTATACAGTCTCTGCCTCTCTTGTGACAGGAAGGGGCATTTCCTCACCAGCCCCATGTGTCTGAATAGGTCTGCTCGGGCAGCCCTGGTTTAGAGGTCAGATGGGACAGTAGACAGAGCTCCCTAGAGAGAAGAGGTTTGGCTTGTGGAGCTGGCAGGCGCCATGGACTGGGACACAGAAAGGAATGGAGCAGGCAGACCAGTGCCCCCAAAGCAGTCCTTGCTGTGGTCTGACTGAGATGAAGATACATCAGCTGCACACTGGCTGTGAGCTGTGTCCTCAGGAAAGGGCTGCAGCCCTGGGTTCTAGCTAAGGAAGATAATGGGCTTCTTGTCTCTTGCTGTTACTCCTGGTGGGCTCTCCTTCCAGTCCATGAAACACTATGGTGGGCTATCTTCTCAGTCCATGAGAGACATAATGGGTACTCCTTCCAGTTCATGAGAGACTGTAGTGGGCTCTCTTCCCAGTCCATGAGAGACCGTGGTGGGCTCTCTTTCCAGTCCATGAAACACCATGGTGGGCTCCCCTTCCAGTCCATGAGAGACCATGGTGGGCTCTCCTTCTAAGCCGTGAGACATCAGGGCATTCCAAAGCCTTGGCCCTGCTCTGGTTCCCACGTGAGAATTTAAAATTGCAATTCAATTCTGCAGAAAACACAAACACGCGCGCGTGTGCGCACACACACACCACACACTCATACACACACACACACACACAAGCTGACTTTAGGAGTCCTAGGGGAGGCCTCAGGGGTGGGCGGGCACCCACCCCTGAATTGCAAAGTCACAATTCAAGGGCTTGTCGTTGTTTTTATTCTTGGTTTACCTCCCAGAATGTCTGGTCTCCAGATACGTTCTTTTTTCTTTCACTATCTGGAATAGACACCTGGACCACTTGGTTCTCCTTGGGGCTGGGAAACGGGGAAAGCGGTTCACCACCTTGTCTTGTTTCTATGTTGGAGGTGACCCATGTGCCCCCTGGGATCAAGAACAGGGAAAGAAGGAGGAGGAAGAGACAGTTGTTATCTAGAGACTGCACACGTGACAGGAGGGAAGGCAGGATTCTGTTCTCAGGACTTCCTGGTTACAGTGAAATTTTTTTTTTGGACTCAACCATATGATGAAAGGATGACCTAAGGATTCCAGTGCCTATTTCTCCAGAGAAGATAGCCAGAGGCCGCTAACCACACAAAAATACATTTGACATTTCAATGATGAGGGGAATGCAAGCCAGAAACACAGTGAGATGTCGCTTGGTACACACTAGGAGGATGGTTACCAAACAAACAAATCCAGAACTTAACAAGTGTCGGGAAGGATGTAGAGAAAATGCAAGCCTCATGCACTGCTGGTTCAAATGCATAATGGGGCAACCACTGTGGAGAATACAATGGTTCCTCAAAAAAAAAAAAAAAACACGAAGCCTAGAATTCCACTTCTGGGCATGTACCACATAGAAGTCAATGCCAAGGCTGGTCCGTGGTCCCCTACACCAGTGTGGCTTATAGCCTCAGAAGCATCCGTGATTTCCAAAGGCAGAAGTAACCCATGTCCATCAGTGGATAACTGGACAAGCGAGATGCTGTACCTGCCTAGAGAGGAGTAGCATCCAGCCTCGGGAAGGAAGGGAATTCCCTCACCTGTGTGACAAGTAAGTACCAGTCACAGCAGGACAAGTGCTGTGTGGGACCACTGGTATGAGGTACATAAATTAGCCATATGCACAGGAAGAGAGACCAAACGGTGGCAGTCAGGAAGCCACTGTTTAATGGATTTACAGTTTCCATCTAGAAAAGATGAACGTGTATGGAGATGGATAGTAGTGACTCCTACCCAGCAAAACGAGTGTGCTTAAGGTCGCAGAACTGTACATTTTAAAATGATTGAAGGGCTAGATTTTTTTTTTTAAGTTTTTGTCCTTTATTGTGATGATAAAAAAAACAGATTTCCAAATATTCCCAACTGATTCTTTTAAAATTAAAATGTATTTTTTATTTTATTTTATGTCCGTGAGTGTTGTGTCTGCACGTGTAGCTACGCACTCCCGACGTGCAGTACCTGAGGAGGCCCAAAGAGGATGTTTGTTCCCCCTGGGACCGGATTGAACAGACAGTTATGAGCCGGAAATCAAACCCAGATCCTCTGGAAGCCCAGCCAGTGCTTTTAACCACTGAGCCATCTCTCCAACCGACCCCCAAATTGATTCTCTAATTG